AAAAAAAAAAGAAAAAAAAAAAAAATTAAAAAAAAAAAAAAAAAAAAAAAAAAGTACAATGACATTCTTACAAAGTACCAAACCAAAAGATTGTTGTAAAAAAAAATCTAAAGTGATATAGCATAAATGACCAAAAATTGTAAAGTCTGAACTTGTTATTTAAATATTCTTCTTCTTCTCTTCTTATATTTGAGGACCCACGAGCAAGTTATTGATCATGCTGGCTCCTGGTTTGAATTCAGAGTTTGCCTTCTCTTAGATGAGTTGCTGTATAGGCTAACAGGTCCCAACCACCTGGGGTGCTTGGGATGTTGGCTTTGGTGGGGATGGAACTCCATACCAACAGCTACGTGATTTGAGTCAGTTCAAACCGCTCAGTCACCCAGCAGTAAATTTTACTTGACCTGAAATTTAAAGTGCTTGAACATTTTTTTTCATGAGCGGGAGCAAATTTAAGCTATACTCAGTACCTGACATTACCCAAAGCATGTGCTGGACGATTTTTAATTTGATTATGAAGAGGAGATTGATATGACAATGACTGCAGCATTTATTATATGGAGTTATTATATATCTTGATATACTGTTCCAGATCAGGCTCAGTGTTGCACAACACCCCTTCATGATTGCAAAAGCATGGTGTTTGAATTATCTCTACAGTTCCATATTGAACGCTTAAGAAATTTCTATAACAAAATAAAGTAGATTATATTGTGTCCACTATATTCAGTATTCTATGTTTGATATAGACACACGCATGTCAGTATAAATTATAAAAGTAAGTGCTCAATCTCACAATAATAATTGCAGCTGTTGTGACTCTTTAAAATATTGTGAATATATTTTTTTAAAGAAACATTTTTGTAACTCAAATTTTTATCTGAAATGTCAATCCATGTTTGCTGATCGATTTGTGCTTTCAGAAGCATTAGATTATTATGACCAATGGTATATTTGAGTAGACCTTGTGATATTTCTCAGCCCTTTGGCTCTGCAAATTTGAAATGATTGTAGTTAATCTTGATTATTGATTGACTGTTTTGTTTGGACGTTTTTAAAATGGCAACTACCGGTACCACAAAAAATTAGTGGCTTGTGATGCCCCCTTTTTGGGGAGTTATTGTAAGATGAAATAGCAATTTGAGAAAAGATTATTTTCTGTATTACAAATATGGCACCTAGTTTGTTTTCTTAAAGAAATCTCATGAATAATCTTTGTTTCTCCACAATGCAAAATTAATTGTAAAAAAATATGTATTATTTGATCATTTTAAAACTGTTCCAATCATTAAATATTATTTGTATATGCTGTTAAAAATCCTGCTGGTCTAACGTACATTACATATGATATAGCGTAATAAATAGTTTACATTACATATGATATAGCGTTATAAATAGTTTGCATGTCATGAAAATAAGCTGAAGCTCCCCCCAATCTAAAATCTGAAAGCTCCTCTAAAGAATATTTTTAAAAATAAATATATTTGCAATCGATCCATTGCATTTTCAATGTCATAGACAGCCATTTTCATCCCCTGGCAAGTGGGATTCTATCTTCAAAAAGAATATCTTATTAGCTGTCTTGTGCTGGGCTGACTAGCTGCCCCTGTCACCTGACTTGCCCCCTCCTTTTTCCCTATTGGCTTTCTGCCCGTAGTTGGGCGGCCCCCAAAGGAATTTAAATTCATTACCTCCAGTTGATGAACCAGATCTGCTACCATTTCTCAATAGGGCTATCTTAAGTTTGAGGGAAATGCTTATTATAGCTGCTCATAGTGATGAGATTATCCTAAGCTTATGATGAAACATTATTTTTTATAAGTTTTCGCTTTCTTGTGTAAATATTTTGAAATATTTTAGATTTTATTTTATGTTATTTTAATGTTTTGTGTACCCTGTTGTCTTTTGACTCTATTTGTATTCTGGTATTAACAAACTATTTCAAAGTAGTTGTATATTAACTAACTATTTTAAAAGTATTTATATATTAACAAACTATTTCAAAGTAGTTGTATATTAACTAACTATTTTAAAAGTATTTATATATTAACAAACTATTTCAAAGCACAAAGAAGGATGTGATTGGCCACCATTTTTGTTGGGGAATCAATGATCAAGACATGTCCATTGGGCACCTGAAATAGATGTGAACCATATTTACCGCTAATAATTTAGAGGAATTATAAAAGTATCTTCGATTTTCTTTATTATTGTTTAAATATATCCAGGGGAAAGTCCCTTATAGCTTAACATTCCATTAAAAAAAAGTTAATATGAGAAAAAATAGTACATTTTTTCAGTGGCCAATAAAAAATAAACCTAGAACCATTGCATTGAGATAATGCTGGGGCTGGGTTTCTTACACTGAGATCAGGT